ACCTTCAAACAGTGTTACTAGTTTAGAATTTTCGTCTACTAAAATTAAAATTAATTGTATTTAAGTCAATAAGTAAATTTTTCATTATATATATTTGTAATATTTTTTATTAATTTAAAATAATTACAATATTGCTGACTCAAAATGAGAGGAGAGACCACCTGAATGTCGGAGCTCCTCTTGTAGCCAGTGTTGAATTTCTCATGTATGTTTTCCTTTGCCTTCCAGCATCTAGTTCCAGCGATGCTTGTTCGTAAAGTGGTTTCGCCCTGTTTCAGTCGGCGACTTATGCCAAAATCAGCCAATCTGGCTTTTCCTTTTATGTCTGTAACAAACAGAAAGTTCAAATTATTTCTAGAAAGAAAAAAAAGTATTCTAATTAATTGAATCACATAAGTTTAGCTCCTACCAATCAGGACATTCTGGGGTTTGATATCTCGATGGAGCACTTTGGTTTGCTGGTCGTGTAAAACCTGTAAGCTGCAGAGAACTTCCTTCACCAGCTTCTTCAGAACCAAAGATCTCTCAGCGCTGTCATCTGGTAAATGATCTTGGATATATTCCTCCAGTGAGTACTCACAAAGCTGAAGAACAAGATATCCGAAATTGTCATCTTCAGCAAAGTCCACATATCGCACAATGGAGGGATCATCAAGTTCTGGGAGTCGTAGAAATTCCTCCTCGTTTTTGAGGACTTGGTAATTAGACCTGTTCATTCGTTTTACAGCCACCTCAGTGCCGTCATCCCTCAAACCAAGGTAAACTTCTGTTCCATCACTTCCCTTAGCGATCAGAAATTCGGGGTCAGGAACAAGAGTAAGACCTGGCGGTCTGCATGTCTTGCTAGCATCAATGTTAGCTAGCTTCTTAAGCTTGGACCTCCAACGACAGCTGGTTTGATGCCACCTTCTTGGGTTATTTGGGGTTTCATCAGACTGTGTGAACGGCTGCACACTGGGACTTGATTCCTCAATGGATGTCACTACAGTGTCCTCTTTATCTTGCTGCTCACTTTCTTGTGATCCTTCTTCTTGTTGGATTTTCTTCTTCTTTTTCTTCTTCTTCCTGCTTGTTGATAGAGCTGCAGTCTCCTCACATAAACTCTCCACTGCACTCGAACCTGCTGGATGCCTCAGTGATTCATCCAACATTTGGAGCTTTTTTTTCATGACTTTATCCATCTCTGTCTCCGCTTTGATAAGTATCATCTCTGGGACAGGTGACAATCCACACAATGCTACAAGTTTAGGAGCGAAGTCATTTATATTGGCAAACAGTCCATATGTCCAAACTCCAGTGAGACTTGAATAATGAGGACGTGTGAGAGGCAACAGACTTTTGCACAACTTCTCATAGACGGAATTATTCATACTCAGTTTCTGCTCAGACGTCTTCTGCATCATGACATTGAGCATTTTGAGTATTAAACTAATGACTGTTTCACCATTTGTGTTTCCAGAGTGCTTAAGGCTGTTTGTTAGAATTGACACAAGATCACTGAATACCGGAGCAGAAACACTGTCACTGACACACAAAGCAACATTTAAGCAGTTCAGTGCAATCAGCCAGTGTTCCTGAGGGATTTTTGGGAAGCGTTTGATGACTCCCTCAATGTATCTGTATGCAATCTTTGTATCTTTTAACCATTTGATGGCGCTCTGATGATACTGCTCCGCACTTGGACCAATGACACCAAAATACACCTCAAACAAAATTGTATGAATGATAGGATTCTCTTGAAAGAAATGTTCCTCATAGATTCTACAAACTTCTCTCTGATTTTTCATTCGTACAGCACAAGAAAAAGAGAAAAACAGATGCACCTTCTCAAACACTTCACCCTGCGAAGATAATTGATGAATCATTTTCTCCACTTTTTTATCTAGCTCTGGATTCACCCCATAATTCCTTTCAGGTGAAGCTCCAGCCTCTATAAGTGCTTTCACAATGTCTTTATGGTCATGATCAACAGCACATTGCAATGGTGTAACAATTGTAACCCATGTCCATTTGGGTTAGCTTTTGCTGCAAGTAATCTTTTCACAATAGTCAGTGGAACCCCAGTTGTAAATGCAGCGTAGTGTAGAGGTGTTTGTCCATTTGTTGAGGATTTGTTTGGATCAGCCAACTCTTTAAGTAGATAAGAGCAGATTTCTTCATTTCTGCATAAAACTGCTGCAGTTAATGGAGTAACATCATCCTTCCAGTCTTTAGAAGGGTACAGTTCATTAATATCTCTGCCTCTTATTAATTTGCAAAGTTTCTTTAACTTGTTGTCTATGATGCATTTTATTAGAGGGTCTGTTTTTCTAGGAACCGCTGGAATTGGAATTGGAAGTGAGATCTGGAATGCCATGGGCCTTCAAATGTTCATTACAGTCTGTGGAGAGATGTAATTCAGGCACTGAGTATAGCATTATCACTTGTTTTCTTCTTTCCGACAGTGTTAAAAGGTTTTTTTTAGTCATAGGTTTTTTTTGTTGAAAATCTTTAAATTCTGTCAGTATCATCATGTCATGATGTCATGTTAGTCAATTTAATTTTTTTCTATTATTTTATCTGACTAAAATGCCATATAATATTGTCAACGAAAATAAAATGTTTTGAGAAAATACATTTGGAAACATTTAAACTATTTATTTGAAACATTTACTAAGTAAAACATTCCAACTATAAAGATTAATAAACATAAAAAAACCTGCACTCTTTCAAATAATATGAAGTTATTACTTTTTTGTACTGTTGTAAAAATAAGTCTTTAAAACTATTCTTTATTCTTCCATGTTTTACAGACTTTTTAGGATGCTGCACTTTGTGTAGCCACTTGTTACATTATTGGAAGCCTATGCACAACTTTAGAATTTTGACTAGAGCATACTTTTCAGTTCAAGTTGCTGTACGTTTACTTTTGTTGTTTGTCTAAATGCAAGTTAAAAAGAGCAGAGCAATCCCAACACGATCAAACCAGTCTGAACGTGTTGACTGGAACAAAAATGCATTTTGGTTCAATCATTATAGCCCAGTTTAACCCCTTGATCCTAACACAATGTACAGTATGAATTGCAGCAACCAATTCTTAACCTTTTACTTTTCTTATTATTGTAATATACACGAGTACAAAGAGGAAAAACTGCAAAATTTGTATAACCATGGAAAAAATAAAACCCTCGCCTTTGCGCGCGCTTTTTGTTTTCATGGAAATGAAACGAATGATGGCGGCCCGATCTCGAAGAATACATCCTTTCGGTGGCGGGTGCTCACTTATCGAGAGGGCCTCACTTCAAGTATATATCTAAAGTGTTTAAACTAGTAACTTGTATCGTTTCTACACCGTGAAAATGCATTTCACAACGTTAAAAGAGAAAGAGAAAGAGAAAGGATTCTCATGCATGTCTAAACACGCTTTTTCAATATCAGCGCGCTCGTTCAATAAGATAGAAAGTCATATTATCCAGAGTCGTTTTACATTAAAAAGCCATGAATATGAATGCGACATTTAATAT